CAGATTATTATTACCGTGCCTCTGGATGGCCGCCAATGGTTACAACATATTTCGGTTTACGCTTCGCATCGGTCGTTACCCTCGCAACAATCAGCCTCTCGCGATGAACCACGATCGATTCTATCCAAAGATAGATCCTTTCCGATTGGATCGATCGAAGAAACTCTACAACTCTCTTTTTCGAAAAAAATAAATTTGAGAATTAAATTTTTTCGTTTCAAATTGGTAATAAATGGTAAGCCTCGATGCATAACTTTTTTTAAAAGATGACTCGAGAAGATCGATTCTATTCATCAAAGTTAGAGCCAATATTTGAAGGATTAAATTTAGTTTAAATTTGGTAAAAATGGATCTTGATGCATTCTTTTTAAAAAAATGATTTATTGAGAATCGATTCTGTCCATTGAAAATAAATGCTAGAGCCAATATTTGGAGGATTAAATTGGTTCAAATTTGGTAAAAATGGATCTTGATGCATTCTTTTTTAAAAATAATTCGATGAGAAATCGATTCTATCCATCAAAGATAGATGCTAGAGCCAATATTTAGAGGATTAAATTTAGTTTAAATTTGGTAAAAATGGATCTTGGTGGATGCTTTTTAAAAAATGACTTATTGAGAATCAATTTTGTCCATTGAAAATAAATGCTAGAGCCAATATTTGGAGGATTAAATTTAGTTTAAATTTGGTAAAAATGGATCTTGGTGGATGCTTTTTAAAAAATGACTTATTGAGAATCAATTTTGTCCATTGAAAATAAATGCTAGAGCCAATATTTGGAGGATTAAATTTAGTTTAAATTTGGTAAAAATGGATCTTGGTGGATGCTTTTTAAAAGATGACTTATTGAGAATCAATTTTGTCCATTGAAAATAAATGCTAGAGCCAATATTTGGAGGATTAAATTTAGTTTAAATTTGGTAAAAATGGATCTTGGTGGATGCTTTTTAAAAGATGACTTATTGAGAATCAATTTTGTCCATTGAAAATAAATGCTAGAGCCAATATTTGGAGGATTAAATTGGTTCAAATTTGATAAAAAAAGGATCTTGGTGCATTCTTTTTTAAAAGATAATTCGATCGAAAGAAGATCGAATTCTATCCACCAAAGATAGAATATTTTGGAATTAAATTTGGTTCAGAATGGATCGGCGCAAGTCTCGGTGGATTCTTTTTTAAAAAGATGACTCGATAAGAAGCGCATTTTTCTTCCGGTCGTAATTGGGGTGCCGGTTTATGGGTTTAATTAAAATCATTGGTGGAAGAGCGGTTTATGACTTGATGCTCTGATTGCTTGCTGGAAGAATTGAAATAATTGCCGTTTGGATCGCCGTCTGGGTTCTCCAATTTATCTAACTGTTTTGATCTCGATGCTATAAATCGTGATTTATAGCATCGAACGTTAGATAGTACTTCTTCTTTCTTTCTTTCCTTTCTTTTTTTTTTAAATAAAATTGAAGACGTTTAAGCGATCGAGATAATTATACTTTTCTCTTCTGTTGGTACACTTCCATCAGTGGGGACGCAGGCCTACGTTTCCGGTTCAACAGGCTCGAAGTGCCTTTGCTGCCCTTACGGATACCACATCGATCTGGACTTCGTGCGATACTGCGAGGCGGTTGCAGCGGGAAGTGCCGGGGACAGGTCCAGCATCGAGAGGCGCAAGAAAAGGGAACGTCGAAGGCAATGCCAGTCAATGGAGGTTCTTCTCGGTCTGGTAAATTGATCCGTTTCAATCCATAATTAAACTCCACCACCAAGGAGAATCCTCGCGTTTTCAATCGTTTCGATCGGGCGAAATCGACTTTCGAGGATAATTGGAACGAAATTTTTATCTCTTCTCCCTACCTCTTCTCTCCAATATTTCGAAAATTTCTCTGGAAATCTCTGGACGACGAGAAACGTTCGACTGTCGAACCTCGAGACAGAGAGAGAGAGAGAGAGAGAGAGAGAGAGAGAGAGAGA